CCAATATTAAACTGGGTACAAATTATAAGAAAAAATATAGATTTTGGTTAAAGAAAGAAGAGAAAAAGCAAAGTTGTAGAGGCATGACATGGAAAAAGACTTATTTCATAAAGAAGTTATTGCTTCCTTGAAAATATTTAAGGGTTTCTTGTTTCTTCCTTTTTCATATTTAATGTTTAGCGTATATTCTTGCCAAGACTCACAAAAACGTACAAGGTTAGCAGTATCCGTCTGTGTGTGTACATATGTGTGCATGTGCATGTGTGTGTGTGTGTGTGTGTGTGTGTGTATACATATGGATGGATGGATGGATGGATGTGTGTAAGAGACTGAAACAGAGAAAGGCAGAGACAGGAATGGAGACAGAGAGACTGCTTTGTGGGTGGACCCACATGGCAACGTTCCATGTATGTTAGGATTCCCCTAAGTATACAGAGATGCATATCATTTGAGGGAGAAAGTGTCTCTAGCTGTTCTTTCTAAATTGGTGGAAGAAACATAAAGTTAGGATGAACCTGAAAAAGTCATATAGCTCAGCAGCCATATAATGAATGCAACCACTAGGGACTCTTTTATTTTAGCAATAACTAGAAATTTTAAGTAATGATGCCTAATGTTAACAGAATCTAAGCCCAGCACTTTGCCAATTCATTCTATTTACCTTGTGACACCTTTTCGGTAGGTATTGTCTGTCAATGACCCCATTATACCGAGGAAGGCACTGAGGCTCAGAGGTTAAGAAAATTGCCCAAGATCCCACAGCAAGTTCATGTGGGAAGCCAGGATATAAAGCCAGGCTGGCTGCCTCCAGAGTTGCACCCTTAAGCATTTGATGATATTGCCTCAGTGTAGAGATACGTAAATCTTTCATTGCTAGGGACTGTTTTATTTTGGCTTTAGTTTGTAGAAAGATCCATATAATAGTTTAATTTGGGCATTACATTTATCTAGGGTTCTGGTAACAAGGCCTGTGATGTCATCAGGAACCAATCCAAGCTTCTGATCTGCATGCTTTATACTCAGCGTTAACACACTGAGTTGATAGAATACCAGCAAAAAAGGAAAGAAATGTGCTATTTTATTTGGCATATATCGCCTTGTGCTGGCAAAGGTACTAGTCTCACTAGGCTTCTTAAAATACTGAAAATAATTCCCAGACACCCATTCATTTCTTCATCAACAATGTTTTATCGAGCACACGCTATGTACCACGTAGGATGTTGGGGACGGAGGGGTGAGGACGGCAGACATAATCCCTACTCTGTTGCTTGCTACAGATTGAACTTAAGAGGTAAAGGAGACTGAGGTCAGATGTGACCTTTTTAAAATCAACTATGCTTGACAATTGAGTAGGCAGTTTTCTCCAGGAATGGAATGAGATTTGTCACACCCTTCTCAATTGGGGACATTATTGTCTGGCCCCTCTACCTGTGGGCCTGCTTTGAGTTGCTTGGGATATTTCAATATGTTCAAAAGACAGTAAATTCACTCACTTCAGGAACTCCTCTGCCTTTTCTCTAGGGTAAACTCCCAGCTAGAACTGACCTCTAGTCCATTAGTGTCACAGTGGCTTCCTAAAGCCCAGGCCCCATCAAGGCCAGGCCACCTCCTCTGTGATGGGTGGTTTCCTCCGGGCTCCTACCTTTTCTGCCGGTTGCTTGTGCTCTTGTTCACAGGGCCGCACTGTGCAGAGCCGAGTCTGCTTCACCATCTCACACTGTGGATTCCTGTTGGTGACGCGGGTGGAAAAGCCCATGCCACAGCTCTTGGAACACGCACTCCATTCTGTGGTCTGTTCAATGCAGTTGATACTTGAATCAGAGACAGAAACTCCCAGAGTGGCTTCTGTCCTGTAGGCTATGGGATGTAAAAATAAAGACAGACAGCTATGTTGAGTAAAACATAGGGGTCACCAAGGGATCCTTTCCATCATCAGTAGAAAGAAGGTCTCAGCCAATTCTGTACCTCCTAAACTCAGGTGTTCTCGGGGACAGAACTGGATGTCTGTATGGATGAACCCTGAACAGGTCACACAATGCCTGGCACATTGTAGGCCTTCAAGCAATCTTTGTGGAATGACTATCTAACCTGTCCTGACGAAGCTTAGTAGTTTTAAGAATATAGAACAGCAAAGCATCGACCACCATTCCATAAACCATCGTGTTTTCAGTATGTGAATTCATACAGAGAAAAGATTATGATAAAATATCCATTGGATGGGTACGTAGAACCAACCAACTCAAAATAGTGATGGAAGCAATACTTCGCCTTAGAGAGGTGGAACTGGTTGGGTTATGGGATATAGACATTTGTACTTTGATCACGAAAAGTCCTGTCTCAACAGTTAGTGTCACGGCTTGGGGCACATCTCTTCTACATGGCAATTTTCCTATCTGGCAGGCATGGCGAATCATTGCTGACCTCAAAACATATGTAAAACTTTGCATAGTGTCAAGGTATATAGTCTGGTTGATTAATGGTGTCTAAAATAGTCTCTATTGGTTCTTGAATTTTTTTCCCCCAAAAGCTATTTCCTTTATAAGATGAAACAAAAGCAAAGCAGAACAAAGCTCCTGAATTATCACTTGACCCTTTCTATGGCATCTGGAAAGGTGACATTTCTCTGTGGCACCTGTCCAGTGATGAGTAGCATTCTTTAGGGAGGTTGGCCTTGAGAGCACACCTGGAGTGTACAGAATCCACAAAAGAAAGAGTGATTTTGCTTTTTACGTGTGTCTTTGTACTGTTAATAAGGGTTGAGTGTGATGCACTAACATGTAAATAGTAGTCATGCAATAAGACAAAATCGGTCCCATGGCTGAAAAGAGCCACTGAAGTCGGCAGATTCTCTGTGGGAGAAACTGTGTGCATACTTGAATCACTTGGCTGGGATTCAAACCCTTGACGTGTTTGATCTCAGTGGGCAATCTGGAAGCCACGGCTGAATGACCAGAAACTGGGGCCAGTTTCTCATTGCAATTCCAAAAGCGCACCCATGCTTCCTACATACCTGTGTCCTGTGCTGTGATGGCTTTCAGGTATCCTGAGTTTCTCACCTGGAAGGGCGTGCAGGTCCCCTAACGCTTCTGTCTCGTTTGAGTCACAGATCCACTTTTCACAGCACTCCCCGGGCACTTCCACTTTCCTTGGAGCTGGGCAGTCAGGTTGGGGCAGTAGCAGGTCTTCGTCACAGCGGGGCACACAGCCAATCTGCCCATCTTGGCAGGTGCATTGGTATTTGCAGCTCGGCTGGAAGGTCTCTCCGCTTTGGTAAATGACCCCGTCGAACACACAGTTATCTCCTTCTATCGCTAGAATATTGGGGAAACGGGGCAGAGAGGGCAAGGCAGAGAGAAAAAAAAAGAACATAATGCCTTTAAGAAGCTACAGAAGATTTGCCAGTCATGTTCCAAACCCCCCAAGTTGTTCTTTTTCTTAGTTGAGACAGTCTGATTTCTTATCCATCTCCAGTAGAAAAGCGTCTTCAGGGAGGCCTCCCAGAGCAAGAAAGGACCTTTAAGCTGGTTCAGTCCTGCTACTCATTTTATGCATGAGGAAAGGAGCACAACGAAAAGAAAAGCGACACTCTCTCTCTCAAAGCCCCGTAGCTGTTGTTCTCAATGATAAAGTCGATTTTGTGAGAGCTTCCTTAGAATCTCCTACTCCAGCAGCTCAGAATTAAAAAGAAAGAAAAGAAAAAAGCACTTTGTATTCTCCAAATAGGTTAACTGGTCAAATTGGGAACACCGTTAGGATTCCTTGGCATGCCAGCACAAAAGTCATCACTAGTTTAGAGCAGAAAAGTCAAAGGCTTTTCCAAGCCTCTGATCCAGGGAGGCAGGGATAGCCTCCAACGGAATGGTGCACCACGTGGAAAATTGATGCCCAATTAATTAAGTTTCACCAGCCTGGACTGGCTGGTTGCCTGAATTTTATTTTATTCCCAGTCCAGACGGGGTTACATAGTCCTCCCAAGAGACCAGGGGCGGCTTTGGCTCAAACAGGACAATTACAGGTGTAAAAACAAACCTGCTGCGCTGCAGTGGGGGGAACTGTGAGCCAATGAGTAAGCCCAAGCTTCCATCACCCCCAAAAGTCCCCCTGGAAGTGCCCAAAGGAAATGACTTCACTGGCCCTTAACTCTGCCCTTCTCCCCATCTATCTAGGTTCTTCTCTAGGGAGGCAATTGATGAATGCTTCTCACCTCGGGCGGCAGGGCAGGTTTACTCTCTGGCTTCCAGCGCACCCCAAAACCCCCAGCGCCCCCCAGACCATGCCTGGTACACAGGAAAGTGCTCCATAAACGTCACCTGCTGCATCCTCATTATTGTTATCATTTGCCTATCACCTTCTGGGACCGGGGAGGAAGCAGTGAGGAAAGGGCCGGCAGCCCCAGCTGGCCGCGGGAGAAGAGGCCCAGCGGGGGAGGGAGAAGATTACCCATGCAGATGCCAGTCCGAGCGCTGGGGTCCGCTCTGCGGTCGCAGAAGAGGCCGCGGCTCTCCTCGCACGGCTCCATTTCCGAGCAGCTGTCGCCCCGCTGGCGGGCGCACACCAGGCAGCAAGAGCAGTCGTCCAGCACGGCTCTCACCCCGGGGGCACAAGTCGGCGGCGTCTCGGGGCACGGGGCTGGGCACGGGTTGGGGCAGCGCTGAGTCGCAGCGGCCTGGGGACAGGCGAGACAAGGAGAGATCTCTCAGTAGGGACAATCGAAGGCGGAGCGATCCGGGGGCCCAGCAGAGGCAGCTAGTAAGGCAGAGCAACCAGGGGCACCTTAGGGGTGCGCGCCACTTACCTGTCCCAGGAGGTGGAGGAGCAGGAAAGCCAGGCAAAGGCACTGCTTGGGCAAAAAGAGACTCATGCTTTGCACACTCTGCATGCTCAGGCTTTTCCCTCCCGCTTTTAGGAAACGAGACTTTCTACGCTGTGGATTGGCTCTGCTCGCCTTTCCCCTGGTCCGGCGGTGGCCTCCCTTCCCCAGCGCCACCGGCGCAGGTTTTATAGCGCGCTCCAGGGACGCGCACAAGCCGGTTGGCTGCAGAGCAGAGAGGAGGGGGGATCGGCTGGGTGGGGAATGGAATGAGCCCCGGGGTTGCCATGGCAATTGGCCGTGGGTGCTGCTCTCCTTAGGGCGCGGCCCCGGGGCCTGCGAGTGCCTGTGTGTGGCGACTGGCTGGTCCCAGAGCGCCGGGAGGGGCTGGGTGGAGTCCCCAGGCCAGGACCCAGGGCTCGCTCGAGCGCGTGGGAAGGAAACGCCCGTTTCCTCCTGGAAGCTGCTTTGCTTTCCCCCAGGACT